AAAGATTGAGCATTATGCTTGTGTTGTTGACCTTTTAGCTAGATCTGGTAGATTAGACGAGGCTGAGAAATTCGTTGAAGAGAAAATGGGAAACATTGGTGAAGGTGATGCCAATGTATGGGGAGCTTTGCTTGCAGGTTGTAGGACTCATGGGAAGGTTGATATAGGGAAAAGAATGTGGAGAAAATTAGCTAACGAGGGAGTGCCCGACTATGGGACTCATGTGCTTTCGTATAATATGTACAAGGAAGCAGGATTGGAAACTGAAGCAGAGAGTGTTAGGAGAATGATCGAGGAGAGAAGAATGATGAAAATCCCTGGCTGCAGTTCAATAGAAGTTAATGGCATAGTTGAAGAGTTCTTTGCTGGTGATCTTTTACATCCAAAGGCACAAGAACTATTTAAAGTGCTTGATTCTTTATTACGCGTGAGCAACGTATCTTGTTCAATAAAATTATAGATTTCTCTATGAAATAGATTATGAAATTTTTTATCCTCAGTTCGTTATGTATCATTGTTCATTTTCTATGGAAACAAAATTTTCTAGTTCCGCGCCTGCTGGTGTTGACTTCGCTAATGATTCAGAGAGATGAATGATCCTTTTTCCCCTTATCTCCTAAACAGTATTTCTTCCAATTCTGAACATAGGAAATTAGGATAATTTCAAAGTTTCTTTGTAATTTTATGGATTCTATGCTGTCATCACTATATAAAGTGTCGGATAAAGATAATTGTATTCACACATTTATACAAAATGTTTTACTCACTCTCACAAACACTTGGGCCCCAAATGAAATAAAAGATGCCAACATGTGGCCCCCCCCCCACCCTCCCATTGTGAGTGTAAGTAAACCATTTTGTACAAAAGTGTTTGCACATCTAGCACAGATGATCATGGTCAAAATATCTTCTCATCACACAGATGATCACGATATTTGGTATACAGTAGTAGACACTCGATAGCATTATGAACACGATAAATAGTCATAGGGGGTGTGAAATGTGCACTTTTGCTGGTCTTCGGTTTAGAATTGGCACAGTAACTGTGCAATCACCTAAATAAGGTAGCAATATTATTCTTTTTGTATCTGCACTTTCCGTAGGATTAAAATTTTTTAATTACTTTTTAACAAGACATTCATTGAAGTCCTCTGCTAACCAACCAAACCAGAATGGTTTGATTATCAATCTGAACATTGAGATCCAATTCATTAATAAACATTGGAAATTATACTCCTTAATTATATGTTTACTTGGATAATCACAAATTTAATTGGATAATTACAAATTATAGTGTTAAACAATAAGAAAAGTCATAAAGGAATAACAGTAAACTCGTACCCCTGTTATGTGAACCATATGCGAACTTCAGGAAGCATAGCGAGAATTTATAAGTGCAAGCACCTGCAACCAAAAGTGGCAAAATTGTTTTCATATCATTTTACATCGGTGAAAATCGTTTTCAAAGCATACGTGAATAGAAGCATAAAGTATGACTCATAAACAGTTAATGAAGGACATATGAGCTAGTGAATAAAAAGTGAGCAGATAATAGAATCAGTTTAAGTCAATCGATCAATAGCTGCCACATGTCGCAAACTATAAAGACATATGTACACTCAAAGCCTTGATAGAAATTTATAAATAGACGAGTCTGGAATGAAGAAAAGCATGTTGAATTTGAAGAGATAGCCAATTCTCTTTTTGTTCCCTATCGAACAGTAGAATAGTCAGTTTAAGAGGGAAAAATCCTAATTAGATGAGAGGAATTTGTTGATCATTATTTAGAGGTCAACATATAATTTTACGTTTGAGCAACCCATGCAATATTAATTATATCTTTGACATCCTCTGAACGTGTAATTTAATTGATTTAGAGTAATATTTATTTGTTTGACATCCTTTTGAACGTATAAATTAATTGATTTAGATTAATCCTAATTTTTTGATGTGCTTAAATTTGAATAGTTTCTCTAATATTCACCAATTAACATGCTTAGACATTAAAAATTGTAACAAATTACAGATGATGTCGACGTAAAATTGTCACACGCATATTTACTCTATTCGAAGTATCCATAGATAAAAAAATGTTATAGTTAATTCCGATTTGCGAGTGTAGCATATTAATACTTATGAGATTTATTAAGTTATGACTCATAATATCTAATCAAATTTCATGTCATATTTTTGATCCCTTCTTTCGTCCTTCTACGTTCTCATCTGAATATTTGCTACTACCACTGGGATCCACACTAATAACAACTTGCATCAAAGGTTTTGCAGCAATCACCATTCATCGAGGCTCGATGCTTGCCATGATAGCCAGTATAGCGTGCACTTCAACGCTTTTCGTTTTGGGGACCAGTTGATTTGTTACATAAGATGTTATCCGCTTTAGCGAATTTTCACTTCCATGATCGTTGTCCTAATTTTGAGAAGCCAATTGAGAAAAAAGCGCTCTGTTATGTTGGTTTCTTTGTTTGCGATTTTTATTAGTTTTGGTAAAGGTTAAGTACAAAACAGTCAAATTGAAACAAAAGTATAAGTGAGGTGATCAAATAAATTGAAGTTGAGTGATCAAAATGAAACAAACTTGCAAGCTGGGTGGCCTCTAGTGAAATATATGTAATATTACTTTATATTTATATTTGTGTATCACGGTAGAGAAGAAGATGGCACAATATAGAAATGATATCTTATAGTCATATATAGAATTTAAATTCCCTAAACTTTAAGCCCATGTTTGACAAAGTATTTTGAGTTTACGAGCGGGTCACATTCTATGAAATGCGATTTCAAAGAGTAGATAAATGTTGTGAACTCAATGAAATATGTGTTTGGGGGGAAAAAAACTTGACCAAATAAGAGTTAAAATAGATGTAACAAAGAATCAATTGAAGTGACTTTAAATTATGTGAACACTATCTATCATAAAGCTATGACAATTTTATATAATGACAAATGCATAAAGATAGTGAGAAGTGTTTATAGACCATTTAAATCTAATGCTCATGGTGGGGATGGGTTATAATGCCCATCATTAGTGTGGTAATATCCGGTATTGTCATGTGCATTTGGTGTTATCACGTCCATGTTGGGCATTATAACTCATGTTCATTGTGGAAATTAGATCATTTCTATTAAATTATAAATAGATAGGAATATATGATAGATATTTATGATATTTGTGGTCGCTCAATATGTAAATTACAAATGACTTGATTCTTTATAAATAGTTTATAAAATGAGCAAAGTATAGACTAATTTTTCAATGGTGTGTGTGAGCAAAAAGAGAATTTAACTTTAATTAATGAGCATAAAGCATTTTTGGAGACTTTTTATTTGCAAAGACTATCTTATGTATTCACTACAATAGTAATATCTATTTTGACTCTTCATTTTAATTTTTTTTTCAAAAATATTTATTGATTTCTCTTCATCTTTTATTTAACATATTTCATATGTTAATGATCAACAATTCAAATATGATTTTAATAATTTAAGAAATTCAGTTTCTATTTTAAAAAAAATAGAATAGAGAATTTTTTTGAGTTTATTTTTAGGCATAGACTATTGAAAATAAATAGTATATTGTATTTAGAAAGACTTTCGAAGATGTTCTTAATCAACAAAGCATAAAAGACTTCTTTTCAAATTGATATGATTTTATGTAAAATTTATTGGAAATTGCTCTGTGTACAGAGCAATTTCCTGCAGGGATCTTATGGACACCTCACCGTAGGGGTCGGTCTCACATGAAAAAAATACGTCGGAATTCACGACTGTGAGGGATCTAGCAGGGGTCTGTAAATCCCAGTAAGTGTAATAGCATTCAAATTTATTAGAAGGATGTGTGATAAAAAAAGAATTTTGTGAAAATGCCTTCAACTTGTGGTCAAAAAATAGTAAAATATTCTCAATGCGCCTAAACTATTCAGTGCACTTTGTAAATTAAAGGACACGTCACCAAATCCCATGTCCGGTCAGTCCGGTCACCATGTGAAGCCACCGTCAATTACGCCGAGAATTAGATCTTTCCCAACATTTTGGGGCAATAACTTTGTGCCACATGTCCATTTGACAATTCTCTGTATACATTACTCAAGACCACTATTTTTAATTTTTAATTTTCTATTTTCTACAAAAAAAATTATTATTAATTGCTATTACAAAATTTTAAGTTAAATGTCTTTCATTTACCTTCTTCTTTTTTTTTTTTTTTAAAGATAAATGAGTTATAATTTTTGAAAATGAGCCATAAGAATTATTTCCTTTTCCTTTTTTGACCTTTCACTTATAAGTCACAATTAGATATATCATGTGTGTCATCCAAAGATCGTAGGCTTGTGTCACTCTCTCATTTCTTTTAACTTATCCAGATGATGTTCAAAATTTCAAAATTAACGTTAACAACTAAATACATGAGCTGGACACTAACGCAGGAATTAGCGCATCATCTCATGAAACGAATTGATATTTAGCACCACTTATATCAGCGTTCTCGAATGCATCCCTTTCATTTAAGAAGATTCGTGGCAAGTTAAGTATTAGTGGAGTTCTTTAATTATTTTTCTATTATTTTTAATTTGTTAAAATTGTGTACAGTGTTTCTTATATGAGGAATAATTTAATGAACATCGATATTCATCTTATAAATGATCCAATGAGCACCGATACTCATCTTAATGTTAAGCACTGAAGATGTGACTTATTAATTCATTGGTGAATTATGATGAATTTCAATATTTGAATTAAGCTCCTATTTTGGCTCAATTCTTTAAAAATTCATTTTTTTCTTAAACTCATTTTAAATGATGCATTCTTCAAATAAAATAATTTTGCACATACACTCAAAACATTTTTCATATTTTTTAATTACACATTTTTTAAAAAATCATTATTTTCAATTCCATATATTAGGAATCGAACCCTCACACTTCGACTGCTAGCAAGGTTGAGACTATCTCCCTCTTATCGTTTGCATCATTGAATTATGCCCTGGGGGGTGAAATTGTATTTCCCTATTGTTAATTGCTTAGTATAAAATGAAGATCAATACTCATTAGATTATTTTTTCTTCATTATTATATCTATGTTCATGTAAATATAAAAGAAAATTCTCTTCAATAATGTATCTAGGAATTGTAACTCGCCAAATCTACTTTTATTATTCTACTTAAAATTAATTTTTAATATATTACTCAGTCAAATCCCACAGAATCAATTTGCCTTAGCTACTCCATATAAGAACTTCCTCCTCTCCCCATTCTTCTCCAATTCCTGTTTGTAACGCCCCCATCTCTACAACACCCCGACCCAACCACTCTTCAAAATTCACCGAAAAAGCCAAGAAAAATCACCCATTTATTCTCATTTCCCAATCTGAATCCAACACGAAACTGCAGTGGNCTTAATCCCATTACATCCCTTTATTATGTTGCTCCCTGCTGCTTGGTTTTCTTGTTCATCCCTTGGATTTTCGTCGAGTTTCCACTTTTGAAAGAGACGTCCAGCTTCCATTTTGATTTTCTGATTTTCGGGACCAATTCTTTCTGCGCGTTTGCTCTAAACCTCGCGGTGTTCTTGCTCGTTGGGAAGACATCTGCATTGACCATGAATGTTGCTGGTGTGGTTAAAGATTGGCTCTTGATTGCTTTTTCCTGGTCTGTGATTAAGGACACTGTTACTCCAATAAATCTGTTTGGATACGCCTTGGCTTTCTTAGGCGTGGCGTACTATAATCACTCGAAGTTGCAGGCGCTCAAGGCCAAGGATGCACAGAAGAAGGCTCAGCAAACTGATGAGGAGTCTGGAAAATTGTTGGCTGAAAAAGAAGAGAATAATGGCCCAATTAAGAATGATTCACAGAATTGATTTCATACTTAATATTATGAGATGCTGTTTTTGATAGGATGAGAAGGACGAGTAAAAGATGAGATTATAGATATTGAAGATCGATGAATGGATTAGGTTCGGTTTCGGTATGTGATCTTAGGAATTCCTTCCATGTCTTAGCTACTTCTCTTGCTAGTTTATGGTTCATTAACTTCATATTTACATAATGGGATATTATGGTTTCTCATATTGCCCAAATATGTATCTGAATTGAGAATGAATTCAGGCTCATTGTCTCGAACTCTTTCTAATATAATGTTGTTATCTATTCCAACTTTTGTTCAATTTATATACTGTTGAAAATCTAATTAGTGTTTTTGGTTTGCGATTTTTTTGGTTCTTATTTCTTGCATATTGAAGATGGTAGTAGATTTTGATTCTTGAAATTGCAGATTATGATCTCAATTTACTGTCTGAAGGTCTGTGATCTGATTGTTGATGACCTAATAGTTATAAAACTCGATAGCGAAGTGATTGATGGGATCCAAAGATCCTTAATTAGAGGTGTAACTTTTGTGGATCAAGCATTATTCGGCAAGAGCTGGCTTGTGTTTTCCATTTTGAGTCATGAAAATATTCTATTAACTCACATTATACATGAGTCCTGTTAGTCTAGACGCAAAATCCCATCTGCGCTGAAAATGCGTGGGTTGGTACAGTTAGCCCTCTAGTTTGCACCTCTATCCAAGATCAACGTCACGATATCCCTACACAGGATTGGGTTCAGAGTTTACGGTTTAGTCTACCTCAGCAAACATTCTCAGTATATGAACATAATAAATGAGTCAGCCATGATCGAAACGGATTTGATTTCTTAATGAAGGTTTGTAAAACTGATAGTAATTGAAGCTCAACTAGCATGATTCTTTTAATTTATACTTTTTATTTGGTAGTTAAATGAGACGAGCTTAGCTATCAAGAACATTAACAGTCTATTTAAAACCGCATTAATCTCAAGTCAGGCTTTAGCTAGCTGTCTTTGTTTTGTTTTCCATTAGATTTATTTGATTCTAGCTTTTTATGAGTCTAATTGAAAATGAGCTCAATCCTTACACATTCAAGGTGATATGTAATTATTTCACCTCACAGAAGGAGAACGTATAGGTGTGTTCAGCGCCTTTCCAAAGGTAACCGTTTAGGTTGACTTTGGAAAGGCTACTAAGGACTAGGCGAAGAATGAAAAACGTGTTAGTTTAAGAATGTTTAGGAAGCATAACCAGCCTTGGATATGTGCTGCAGCAGAGAGATGGGGTTTCGCCTCAGACAATAACATTCTGTGCGATGCCTCCAAAGACTTTGACCTTATTGCATCGGAAGGCATACGTGGAAGAGACGATGTGAAGTGCAGTATTGACCTTGCGTGATCTTTTGCTTAACTGGTTGTCACGTGACTTGTCGCTTAAGCAGAGGCGTAACAATTAATATATTTTTTATGACCACCTTATAGTATAGTTTTTTCATTGAGCTTAGAATGACTCAGAATGGATTTCATACTTCGAAATGCATTATAACTGTAACTACAATATCCCTATGCAGTATTTGTTTCAGAAAATGAGATTATTCTTCTTTCATATCCATCTAACTTCACCATCCTTCATTTCCTTCGATCTGCATAACTTTTCTGGCTAACCCATCCTCAACATGCATCAGGCCACCCCCTCATCAGTGCAATCCCACCCCCATATAGGAACCGAATCATCCTTAGGATTCGTTGGACATGATTTTTGAAAAGCTAAAAGCTGCTTTTGAACATGTTTAGATAATTCTCTGTCGGAAAAGTTTCGAAAGGAAGCTGACCTAATTATTCACAAGCCCAATTATCAGCGTTAAGTATGCCCAGTCCAATAGTGTTCTTAGGGAAGAGCTACAATTGAAATAGGTGTAATGTAAAATGACATTTTTGCTTGGTTAATCTATACCTTCATCCATAATTTCACGTTTTTCCTCAAAGAGAATATTAATTGTGATCCAATAAAAATCATAATATTTTTAGAAATTCTGTAGTAAATTATTCAAGTACTGGAGAAATATATATGCCCCTGTTTGGCCACCATTTTTTCCAAATTTTAATGTTTTGAATTTTTTTAATTTTTTTTATAAGAATATGTGGTTGAAAAAGAATGAAAAGTTTTTGATTTACATGAAATATTATTCTATGAAAGATTGTGTGATTAGAAATAAGAAAATAAAAAAATGAGAAAATGGAGGCAAAACAGGGACATAATGAGACACGAACACCTTGTAATTAAGTCCTCAATTGCGTACAATATTTAAACTTCCATATTCACGGACAAGTGCTTTCAGAATATTGTTGTATTGTGGGATTATCTCCACGTAATTAATGCTCAAAGTTCATCTTCGATTTATACTACTAGACGTGATTGAATAATATAATAACTTGCTAATAAGTTATTCAATTAAATTTTTAAAGGACATCCCACATCAATGAAATTATCAAAATTTATTACCTCCGCAGCCAAGATACTCGTCCATATAGGGAACAAGAAGATCTTGTAAAATTAATCGTCCAACTTTATTCATTGAATAACATTATCAATGATATGTTTCACGTTGTGAATAACTAGCTTATTTGCTTAATTCATAATTTTATTAAAAAATTAAAAATAAAAATTTATATAATTCAAAAATGTATAAACAATTAAATATATTTTTGAAATCGTTTTTTAGATAATAGTGTCAATACGTTTGATCAATTAACATCAGATTGTTATTTGATCAGAATAATTCTATATGTACAAAAATAGTTTCACAGACCCAATCACAAGAAGAGAGTTGCATCCCTGTATTAATTATGTGAAAATATTTTTGTTAGTGTAGCATTGTTCATCTATGACAAATAAAGTATAGATTGAACCAAGGCCACTCCTTTTTGCAATGTTTGGTACCCATCTGGTCCATTGACCAAAGTCAGAGGAAATTCAATCAAATGTCACATTTGAGAGGCGTAACTTGAAAAATGGATATATATATTATTTTATTTTTACCGTGGTGCTCGGACCAATTTACGTGTACCTCGACTAATTTCACAAGACTCTAAAGTTTACAATCGAATACTCACCCAGTGACCTTGAAGGGACTTGAATTAGTAACCAAAAAAAGGATAAATATACTCATAAAATAGTTTTTGTTACGTCACATTTTAATTATTATTTTTTTTTTTCAAAATTTGCTCATTTTTATACTTGTATCTCCGACTTTTTGTCACAATTTTATATTTAACTTTCAGTTAATTAACATATTTTGCCTTTGATTTTTCAAACAACATGTTAACGAATTCGTTTTGTCAAAGTTATGAACTTGTTTTTTTTTTTTTTATTTAAACAACTCAAAGGGTAAATAAGTCTGTTTAACTTCATCCTAGCGGATTTTTTTACCATCGTCGGAAATTTTATTTAAAATAAGGTAGAAATTTAAATACAAGAAGAAATTTTGACGTATAGATGTACAAATGAGCAAAATTAAGATTACTACAATCATAATGTGGTGCAATTTACAACTACAGTGCAAATATATTCAGAGCATGTTACAACCCCATTTTAATTGAATAATGCACTTTAGAATATAAATTGATGAAGAGTATGTAGTTAAAATTTAAGGAAAAATTGTAAATTTGAGAGTAATATTATTCTATTGAAGAACGCGTAATTGAAGAGGAGAGAAAAATATATTTTAATGCAAATGACCATTTTAGTAAAAGTTGGAGCAAATACCCCTTGAAAGTAACAATTACACTATAGGTAGATATTTTTATTTTTATTTTTTGACAAAAAATTTTAACAGACAAGACTCGACATGATATCATTGAAAATAATAATAATAAAAAAAAGGTCAATCAAGTTTGGTCACGTCAACGTCGATATCAATTCGGTCAAAATTTTCCCGTACTTGAAGCTTTGTAGTAAAAGTAAACCAAGTTCCCAAAAATTCAATCACAATAACCAAAATTTGAAAATCATTTCTCTCTCTTTATATTTCATCCATTGAATCCATTCCCTACTCATGTTCAATCATACATTCTCTCAATAAAATAATTTCACACATAAATCCAAAAAAATTTCTTACTTTTTAATCACACATTTTTAAAAAAAATAAAAATAAAAAAAATTCATTGTTAGAAGGAAAAAGGAAAAAAAAAAAAAAAAAATCTCATGTACAGGCATAGAGAGCAAAGCAAGTGAAAATAAAGACAGGCAAATATGACAAGACCAACCCAGAGTACAGCCACAGGCTCAACACAAGTAATATTATCAAATACATCGATTGAATGTCAAAAGTAAAATATTGTAGGAGATCTCATAAGTACCATATAGTTTTAAAGCTCCCTAAATGAACTTTCAACGAGTCTGTCAAGGAAAGAAAAATCTCTACGCATGGAATCAAAAGCGCATGCAGCCTATGTAAGCACCATTTAGGGCATGACAACTTCAAAAAAAAGATACCTTATTCATCTCCATCTTTTCAGACGGTGCACCAAATTCTGATTTGCCGTGTTGTTTCCAGTAAGGATGATGAAATTGAACGTCGCCAATGGATCTGTGATGAATTACAGTATAAATGCCTATGCATCAATGCACTACAGAGCAGGGAAAACGTAGAAAACAATTGGGAAAAATAACTTACAATATTAATCAACACAATCATCCATATAAAACCACTCATAATTCATAACAACAGGGAGAAAAATAAGAGACATGCAGCATGCACGACACACTTTTAGAGATGTCTGATGTAGCGCCATAAAAGAGTCTAAAATACTTAAAATGTACGACACTTGACAACAGATGTTTTTTCTCGTTCTTGGAAGAATTTGAAAGGAAGCATGTTTAACCGTACTTAAAAGTTACTTTTCTAGAAAGTAAGTTTCTTAGTTAAAAGTGTAACTTTCGAAATTATATGGCAAAATAAGCTTGACTAACTTTTAAGCACATTCAAACATGCAACATGCTCTACAATAATAACTGACAAGTACAATAAGTGTTGACTAAAATTCTAAAACCATCATCCCTAATACTACCATCTCTCAAGCACCTGCAGTTCTCCCCTGATATCTCCATTATATTTGTCTATTTGCTTGTATGCATTGACGCACACAGAAAGTCCTTCTCAGGCTTCCATTGTTTAACAATAGGGGACTCCCATATTCACCATGTCATACCAAGTATCGTGCCAAATTTTTATTAGAAATCAGACTAATAAACTGGGAAAACTAAAAGAGTATTAACATAATATTTTATCCAAAGTTGAAAGCATCCATTAACTTGAAGCCAAAATAATCAATTCATATATCGAGATAGATCTATTAGTCCTGTGAATTTGTTTCTAATTTCCTAGGTACACATTGAGAAATATAATTGATTCAAGTCATTAGACCATAACCATAAACCATAATATCAACTATGTGGAAGCTTCAATATATCCGTTCCTCGGACTTCCTTTTACGATTGTCCAAAAAAGTTGGTACTTCGTATTAGTTCTTAAAGAAATTCCACTTAATAGTGTCAAACAATAAGGACCGATGAGATTAGATCTTTAATTCCTTTGACGTAAAATTGGAGAAGACCCTGATTCTTAAACTTAACTCAATAGCTAGAGGTCAATATCAGCAATCATTAGTGTTCGAATTCAATGCTAGTCAAAAAAAGATATCAGGCAGTTTATAGCCGTAAACAGGAGTACAATTGTTCAAATTTGCTATAGACATCATCATCATAACTTCATTCAAAAAGAAATGAAGTCCGTATCTAAAGAAATGTGTTCAAAAAGGGCACATGTAGAGAAGAGATAGCGCTTTTTCAACTCTCTCAGATGGAATATATTCCAAGCACATATATGCATGCTTCATTAAGTTTACATGATTGGCAGGTGTCATTATTTAGAAGAGAACACGACAAAAATAGTACACATCTAAGCTACTGCAAAGCATAACTGAATCATAAAAAGGACCCAAGTAATCATCAGTATGGGTCGGAGAAATTTTTAACTACCAGGATGCTCTATGCTGTGTCCAAAAACAGAAACACAGATTCATTTTTCCATGCATTTTGATCAAGAATAAAATAGGTCTCCGTATACCAGAATATGTTCTTACATCATAATTTGGTAAATGTAAAACATAAGATCTTCAGAGAAACATTTTGTAATAATTTATTATGAAAAAATCCAAAAGAATCCTATGTATTTAATATTACCCAAGTTCAGTCACCGCCGAATGGTAACACATGCAAAACAACAGGAAATCAGCAAGTCAATAATATTCATAAATTGCTTGGCCATAATATTCCAGGGAAAATACCAGTAGTATTTGTAGCATGTACTCGACAAGAGCTGACCATTAAGTTCAAATACAGCATTTTTCAACACAAGATTAACAAGAGCGGATCGATACTATCATATTCTTTAGTACCAAGAGTGATGCAAAAGCAGAACAATCTTGAAAGATAACAAATATGCATTGAAGGTGTCAAACTTATAGGTCTTTATGTTCAAAACATAAATAATTATGTAAAAGATAATCAATAACATGATGAATGGTTTTTGAAAATAAAATGTCATAGCTAAGAAATTTCTCAATGATCAACTGAAAAAAGTGCAAAATCATTCTCAAATGAGATCTACACAATCTTAGAAGCTCAAAGCTCTAGCCGACATATGTTTATGCCATGGATGGAAACATAGTTAATCAACAGAAACGGCAAACAGGAAAAAAAATCCAATATAGTAATGGCATCAAAGAAAGCATAGGAAGAGAACTGGACCAGATACACTCATTGAGCCAGAGCCTCAAACTTCTTTAATGCATCACAACTTGGTGTTTCCCGCCTGTAGCCCCAGTGAAGTTGCTGCCACTCAAGCCTACAATTATGCACAAGGACATTGTGATAATCATTCTCGATCCTTTGCTCAAGTGTAATTCGTTCTGGACTGTTAGGCGGATACTGCTGCTCAAATTTTGAGGACTTCACGTAAAAATTGACGCCCTTTTGTGTGGTAAACCGGTGCTCATAGGAATATGACCTCTGGAGAGAATAAATTGGCTCTGACGATGGCAAGAAATTCAGCAACAACACAAGTATCACAGGCAATAACTGGATCAAAGTTCTCCACCCATTAGACGCATGATCACCACCACCTGTTTGAACCCTTACCCTAGGTCCAAACCTGAATCCATTAAAATTAGCCGTAGCAGCAGGATTCATTCCCCCGAAAAAGAAATTTCTGAAAATCTCATCTGCATCGAATTCCCCATCATAAAAACCATTAAATCCTCTCATTCCATTAACACCGCCACCACCTCGCCTCTCATAAACAGGCTCGTCTGATCCAACAACATCATACTTCTTCCGACTCTCCTCATCGCTCAAACACTGAAAAGCCTTGGAAACCATCTTAAACGCCTCTTCAGCCCCTGGGGCATTGTTCTTATCTGGATGAACCTTCAACGATAACTTCCTATACGCCTTGCGAACATCATCAACACTACAACTCTTCTCTAACCCTAAAATCTCGTAATAATCTTTCTTCCTCTTAATTTCCCTCACGATCGTGACTTGCTCCTCCGTATAACCCACCGAACTACTAGATGACGACGACGGTCCACCTGCTGAAACCCTACGGCGAGGCCCATTCTCAGCAGATTTCGATGAATTTTGGGGATTTTCATTCGTGGGTTCGTTAGGGTTTCTGTTTTCCGGTTGCGAATTGTTCAGATTCGATAAAAACTCTTCAATTTCGATTGATGGATCCAATCTACGAGCTTTATGAAGAAACTTGATAGCACGATTCCTATCGCCCGATTCGATTGAATCCTTGGCGATATTCAAGCACTTCAAGGCTTCATCTTTGTTCCCATCCATCCTCTATGTCTGTATGTGTATAAGAAATGAGGAGAAAATTGATGAAGATCTACCGAGAGGGAAGATTGATTGAATCGAAAGAGATCGGATACTGGTAGTCTCTCTTTCTTCCTCGCCCCCTACTCGCACACGGAAGGTCTGTTTGGTAGTTGATAAGGGAATTTTCTTAACATTTTCATCAGACGGATTAAATAAGGATTAAAATCAGATTTTTAATAGAAATTAATTAAATATTTGATTGAAAAGTTGTAAGATCTATAAAATATGTGATTAATATTAATTGTTGACTTTGATTTAAATTAAAATTAAAATTTTAATTCCTACCACAAGGTTAAATGTTTAGCACATTGGTACTTGAGTGTAATTTTTTTGTCCACCTTGCCATTTTCAGTCGGAATTTGATTAAAAAAAGGAGATTGGCACAAAAGTGATGCTACACGTACATAATAGTGTACATTCCGTCACATGGAGAGAGACTCTCGTTCAATAAATCGTGGAGTGTACAAGTATCATTTCCCTTGGTGCAAATAGTGTCAAACTTCTGTCCATCTTATATTTTAATTTAAACTTTTAAATCTTGAAGCAGATGGTTCCACAACTTTGAATTATTGGCACAATCAGTCTTTTTGGAATGGATTCAATCCAAAATTGCCATTAGTTGTTACTCATGAAATGCAAGTGCTCTTATTTTATCTTTATTTGAAGTGTCAAATTTTATTAAATCAAAAACAAAATAAGTAAAAAGTAAAATTTCAAAAAAGGAAAAGAATCTTAGAAAACACACACAAAAAAAAAAAAAAAAAAGTCAGCTTCTTCTCCTTAGAAACACAAAGATCCATATTGTCGGCATCACACACCAAATTGTCACTACGACCACCATCACTCTAATGTTAGGCGACTATCGCTACCCCCACAAACACAAACAAAAATCTGTGGCCTCTCTTCCACTTATAAGATTTCATGGTTAGCATTGGATAATTAGGCAAAAATGAGTTTGTTAATAGTAATTTTTTGGAGAGTGTGTGATTAAAAAAAAAATGTTTTATATTTACATGTAAAATTATTTTATTGAAATAATATGTGGTTGAAAATGGATTTAAAAAAAAAAAAGAGTCTTTAGATGATGAAGTCAAACAGGGACTTAATCTCCCACCCACCACTTGCCGAATACAAATGTATTTTTCAAATGTTACACTGAAATCCTCAATAAAACTTGAAAACTACAAATTGCCCAAAAACTTCTCCTGATTTGAACATGTGCCACATATCATGTTTAATGAAGTTTGGGGATATTACACATTTTCCCATTTTCGTTCTCGAAATTTAAATTACATTCTCACCATTGTTCTGCTACGCTAATGTAGTAATATATTTCTAACTTACGATCTGAACTTCTATATTTCTAAAATTTCAATCTATAGTACCTATAATGTGTAAGTGTTATACCCTAAGTCCAATCAACCTTGAACATAAATACTTTTAATATATATTTAATACAATTTAATGGCGGATCTATTATTTAATTAATATTCAATTAAATTAAATAATAGAGTCCGTAGATTCAAATCTTTGTAGTTTGTTAATCACAAGGAGTTGTGATTGTGAGATACGAATTACATATGATTGAATTTTAAATTGTTCGTGGTCGTAAGTAATAATGAGATACGGCGAATAGACCATCACGTGTGGCATTTCTTACTTGAGAAGTAAGTAGCTGATCTCACAAGCTAAAGTGTGGTAACACTTGAATGAACACGTGGATGTTTTGTTATATATCAAAACATTGGAGACCCGCATAGAGATTCTACATGAATAATTATCTGAGTGTCAGTGGTTAATCTCTAACGTTCAGTAGTAGGATTGGTCCTTTGACTTGAGGTCGTTATAGTACCTTATATGAGAAGAGTCATGCTTTGACAGTGTTGGATGTTGTTCTGCCAAGGGCCGCTAATACGGCATCGTTCTTGTATGTCAAAAATCGTATGAAGATTGTGAATGACCAATAGAGGATTCGTCACTCTTAGATAGTAAGAGATTATTATCCATATTTCATTCGATTAAGTCGATAACGAAATCTTTGGCCAAGGTATACTCATAAGTCGAAAAAGAGTTTTCGAATTACATTGGCTTAGTAGTGGAATGAAAGATATGATCGATAATTGAGATTGACACTTATCCATATCTCATAATTGATCGAATTATATTGACGAAGGGATTATAGTTTCATGGTAAACAAATGAGTTTGGTTTTATCATACCACGTGACATTTCCCGTCGCATGTATTGCCCTGACACATTGCTAAATGTCAATATAGGACGGCGAGTGTGAATTGATGATAAATTAAAAGGATGTTTTAATTTATCAATTTTGATTAGATCAAAATAATATTTCACGTCGCTAGACATCATGATCGGAAACCTGATGGGTCATACACAAAAGAGAATTGAAAGATTGCAATTTGTCAATTAATTAATTTAACAATCATTGGATAAATTAATTAATTAATTGGATTAGTTATTTATAGGCTCGAATTAATTAATCAGATTAATTAATTTACGGACTGAATTTAATTAAATGGATTAATTAAATATTGAATTGGGTCAGGCCAAGCCCATTTGATCTTATGTAAATACATGGCTGGGGTTTTCAATTCATATAGAAATCATTATTCTTGCTAGCACAAGAAAACTCTAATCCTGCAATCTCGTTCTTTGTTTGGATCATCGTCGGAGGCTGGACAATTGGACAGCTGTAAGAGACAGATCCGTGTTGCTGGAACAAAGATAACGCAAAGGAGTTTGTAGATCTAAGAAAATGTACAATTTTCTATCACAATTTTTATCTAAATACGAAAAGATCCGCGGTGGGAATCGAAATCTATTTTAATTTTCAGTTGCGCATGTTAAGTAGATTCCCAACATAGTGTTTGTTAACAATTTCTCTAATCTAAAGATATTGTTATAGTTGTCTTAAAATAGTTTATATTGATTAGACAAAACTAACAATCACCTTGGTTAACCTCAATTCCTTTGGTTTGATTTGGATTCTTGAGAATAGTGTGATGGTGGGTAATTAGAGCAAAATCCCCTTGATCTTTGTCTCTAGTGCTGAATACCCTCTTATCTTTTCAAATAAGCAAAAAATAAAAAAATAAAAAAATAAAAAAATAAAAAACACTCCTAAATAACCTTTCAAGTGTGGAAGACATCAATTTTTTTTCCCTTTTTCTTCCTCCCTCTCAATGATGATAGACATTTCCAAGATACTCCATTCGTGACAATCATCTCATAATCCTTGCTAGCAGTTTCTGGCATTCCTTAAAATGAATGAAAGTATGGGACGTTCCTAGGTTTGTAAAAAACTTCTAAATTCATTCTCAAAAATACCAACAAATCTTAATTTAGACAAAACGATACGAGCAGAATGTAACTTCAGTTCATTTCAAAGTTCTCATACGCTTGAATAATAGCGGCTAACAATTGAGGTGATTACTTGGTCTTCATCATCATCCTAGTTATCGATAAATTTTTGACCACGTCTATCGCTAGAACCATTCACACACCAACGCATTAGATTCTAAACTTTATTCTTGCATATGACATATGATCGTTTGAAAACCCGCAAGTGCACGGGTTCATGATCAAGTAATATGATGGACTGAAGTTACAATTATGCACATGAAGACTATGTGTTTGATTGAGCTAAAGTTATTAATATCCTTAATCGAACAGTAATAAAGACTTGGTCTTCATCATCATCCTAGTTATCGATAAATTTTTGACCACGTCTATCGCTAGAACCATTCACACACCAACGCATTAGATTCTAAACTTTATTCTTGCATATGACATATGATCGTTTGAAAACCCGCAAGTGCACGGGTTCATGATCAAGTAATATGATGGACTGAAGTTACAATTATGCACATGAGGACTATGTGTTTGATTGAGCTAAAGTTATTAATATCCTTAATCGAACAGTAATAAAGAGTTGTAACAATTAATGTCTAATTTATTAACTAACTCGAAATCAAAGTTCAAGTTTGGGGGTTTGATAAGTGTAGTTTCTACACTTATTATAGGCCCTAAAAGATGACATTTTATTGTTCTTTGAATAAAATACTACTTAACATGTGTTACATTTTGTAGGTAAAATTTGATGTTTGATGAGGAATTGGAGAAAAGAATGCAAAAATAGTGAAAAAGTGGCGAAATCCAAAATTTGGGGACTAAATTAGAAACAATCCATAAATAAGACGAGTGACAAAATGAAGATTGAAGATGCCAAGGGCTTAAGTTGATACAATTGGAAGATAAATGCACAAGATTACAAGAGAAATAACTGAAATGAAGCAAATTCAAAGTTAAGGGAGTACAAATACTCGAAAGTTGGGTCAAACCTCACGATGAAGATTCAAGAGTGTTATGGGTCATTGGATGAGGAAAGAAGTCAAAGAGATGAAATATAGTCCAAGTATTATCACATATAAACTTTTAGGAGAAAAAAGTTACGCTTCGGATTTTCAGTCTCAGTTTGAGACCAATTTTTGGCATAGAAAACGTTCAAATTGAAAAAATAATATATCTAAAAGAATTTTAGCCATTTGAGTTAGCTTTTCAATGAACTTTGAATTATTTCAATCGGATATCGGGAGAAAAAGATATGAATGAAATATTGAAAGCTGTCCGATTGGAAAATATTATACCTATGCGGTCGCATAGGTTAATTAGATGCGACTGCATTTATGCCTCAAGCGCTCTTGGGACCATCTATTATTTCTTCTATGCGGCTACTTCCATTTGTACCATGCCACCGTATAGTACTTTTTCGAGGCGGGATTTTGTTTTCTTTCCCAATTGAAACTCTACTTTGATAACAATTTTTTGGGCATCATTTAAATACCATAATCAATTCAGAATGTGGAGAGATCTCCTTTGACATAAAAATCTCTATAGTCCATCTATTTTGGAGGTAAGACCAAGTCTATACATCAATTCAAGGTGAATCACACAAGGATTTTGAAGATTCTTTCAAGATTTGAACCAAGAATGTGGATTTCTCCTACTTCCATCTTTCTTATTTTTTGGTGATTTTTTCCAATTATTCTTGTGTAATTTAATTATAAGAATGTTAGGCTAATTTTTCTTTTATATTGGATAAATTATAA